AAGGTTGTATTCCCCAGACAGCGCTGTCAAGTCGCTCTGTCGACAACACAAAGAAGAAAACAAATGAATTGGAGGTTGTGTGAATGTCACAAGACCGGAATATAAATACCTATGACACAGAGAAAGTAAATACCAGTAATACTCATTCTCACAGAATGTCTGAGGGTGGTACCGTCTAGCCATGACAAAATGAAAAGAAAGGATATAATATGTAGGTAAATCTCTAAGACGCTGGGCCAAGGTCTTTTATTCTTACCAACCCTCAAAAGGCACCACTGTAGGTACAAGAGGCCAAATCACGAAAACAAAGGCTAGGTGTGACACTCATACAGTTACAGAAAAGGATTTAGCATTCAGAGAACATTTCAACCCTGTTCGACTTTCTAACTCACAGGAGAGAATGCAGACTTCACTCTGTACGGACAAAAAATATTTCTGTGAAATATCTTTTACAGAAAGTGAAATTGAGGATGGTTTTCTCCTTACCTTAACCAAACTGTAGAAAAATAGGCTAAATGATGATGGTTGCCTTTTCTTTTTTCCATTAAAAATGCCACTTTAAGCTCTTCTTATCACTGTAGTTATCTGCCTGTATGTGGACTAAATCTTAACTAGCTCTTGGATGTGCTTGTGCCCTCTCGGTACTAGTTTTCCCAGTACCACCCACGTCCCATTGGGCTGAGTGATCTGACACCGCCTGTCTACCTCAGGCCAGGTGTCTGGTCCAAGGACAGCCTTCTTGAAAACCTAACTGCCCTTTTCCCGTCCCTTGGGCCTCACCTCAGCATGTCTAATGGGAGCTCCGGCCTGGACTCCAGGAGTGTTGTTCCAGATAGGCCTGGCGGGTCTCACTGCTTATTCACATGACCTCGCCTTCCTTGCCTGGGAAGCCGGAACACCGTGTCTTCCTGGCATGTCCATGTCCTCAGGAAACAAGACCCTTCATTGGATAGGGTATATCTGTTTCTCTCGCCACGGCCATAAAGGCTTCAGTTTTAGGTATTCAATAAATTGTTTTGGGTATTCAATAAATATCATCCTTTTAAAATATGTGTATGCTCAACACCAATAACTCTCTGATAAAGAAATCTTGGTACAAGCTGCAAAGCTGTAGGTGAGAAAATGAAAGCCCATCCCCCTCAGAATCTAATGTGTCCTTCCAGAAGGCCATGAACTCAAAATGTATTGAATCAATTGAAGCTCCATAGCAAATACCCTACAAAAGGACCCAGAAGTGAAGCTTCCAAGAATCCAAAAGGACAATCAGTTTCATAATTTTAGATATGACCTGATGTACCACCAGCTTTGTAAGAAATACACTTGAGAGGCTTTCTGTTCAAAAGATTCAAAGGTTCTTCACAACTGTGTGGCTTCGTTGGCCCTTTTCTGCCTTCACGAGGCTCTCTCTGGACAGGCCGGCATTTCCTATGGTTTCCAGCGCTTCCCATATGCTGATGACTAACAAACCCTCGTCTCCAGCCCGTGCTGGTTCCTGACTCCGGGCCCCTATGACTGAGCTCTGAGTCCACATGGGATTATCATTCTTCACGGCCCTTCTGCCCCTCCTCTTGTACCTTGTGTCTCTTTAAATGTCCACACCACCCAGGCGGCAGCTCAGGTCAGGTAGGCCGCTGAGCATCTCCCTGACCGCGCCCTCTCCTTTAGCCCTTACACCTAACCAGCCTTTAGAACCTCTGGACGTGGCGTCCTTACTGTCAGCCAAACACCCCCACTCTCCACCCCCACTTCTACCTGAGCACAGGCCCTCATCTGTTCTCCGTAGAAGAACAGTCTCCTGGTTGGTGTTCCCATCCCAAATATTGCCCCACTCAAGCCATTCTTCATAAATGGAAGACCATTGTAAAAAGCAAAGTTGATCACACCCTTCCCTTGCTTAAAATCTAGTTGAAATAAAAGTCCTTCGTGACTCCTTCCTGTCCGTCTCTGCAAACACATCTCCCGCCATTGCTGTCTTTCTCTGCACCGGACCTACAGGAATTCGGAATGTTAGTTCTGCATTTCTCCCTGCCTTAGCCCCTACTATTACTTTCTCTCTACCCAGAATGCCTTTCCTCACATCCTCCTTCTAACTAATTTTTGGTTATCCTTCAAAACCTGTCTTTCGCCAGGAAGTTTCCCCAAGTCTCCTTATAACAGACGTGGTTCTGGTCTTACGCTATGTGGCATCCTTACTCTCCATAGCACTGAGAGGTCCTTGGAGGCTGCATAGTTCTTGGAATAAGGGGCTAGGTTTTTTTCACTTCTCATCTCCCAGGTTATCCATTAGCACAGGTGTCTATGTGTGTCCTCAAAACAGTTCTCAACTGAATAAGTGAATGCCTTAGAAGGAGGACCTGTGTTCCATTTCTTTCTTTCTTTTTTTTTTTTTTTGAGACAGAGCCTCAAGCTATCCCCCTGGGTAGAGTGCCGTGGCATCACAGCTCACAGCAACCTCCAACTCCTGGGCTCAAGCGAGTCTCTTGCCTCTGCCTCCCAAGTAGCTGGGACCACAGGCGCCTGCCACAATGCCTGGCTATTTTTTGGTTGCAACCGTCATTGTTGTTTGGCGGGCCCGGGCTGGATTCGAACCCACCACCTTAGGTGTATGTGGCTGGTGCCTTAGCCACTTGAGCCACAGGCACCGAGCCCGGACCTGTGTTCCTATGCAACTTCTTGCTGGAGAACCAGGGCAAATGAAGGCAGCAAAGAGGTAGCTAGTGCTGACATGGGAGATTTTGTTCAAGTAGAGGCACCAGATCAGATTTTAAGAGGCTGATTAGTTAGGCCTGATTATTGGAATGTATCCTCTTTTAAAGACAAAAAGGAAAGTCTTGGCAATTGCCAACTTCAGCACAGCAGTCTCTGTGGACACAGATAGTTCTGAGGGAGGCGGCATGACATTGTACACCTGCAGACAGAAACTCCCTGGCGTGTGCTTAGGGATATAACAATCCCATAGAAACAGGTTTAGAAGCCTGGTTTGTCACCAAAAAAACAAAAAGGAGGTCTGTCTTCTGTTGTTTCAAGTACTGTAAATCCTGAATGTGAAAATGCATAGTAAACCCCTACAGGCCTCATCAAACTTACACCCCAATTGAGTATTTTTTAAAAGTAAGCTTTAAGAAAGAAATTCATCCTCAACTTGGAACGGTGGCCACACTAGGGCTTACACAAATAACTTCAGCATCACTAGCCTATCATCTGGCAGCCCTCTGCTGAAGAGCTGCCGCCCTGGGTCCTATCTGCTTTGTTTTCTCTCCAGACCTCTCCAGTCCGTGTTGGGCTCACATGTTGTAATGCTGTGGCTCTCTACTGCACATGTTATCTGCTGCTATTAACCACCAGCCAGTCCTGATGACAGAAAACGCTGGACACAGCCTGTACTAAAAGAAGGTTTGGCTTCTGGCTCCATGGTCCAGTAGAAATCCAAACAACTCTCAACTTGGGAACTGATGTGGGCACAGGCAGCCTATTGATTGTGTAACCAAGAAAGAATAGGCTAAATATATTACCTTAAAATGCTATGCTGGCTTTGCAAACAGAGCAAAGAGCTCTGCCACCCTAACAGGGATTGCCTGTAGTTCAAAGCTGGGTAGAAATGATGAGTATTACCGAACCGGCTGTTCCATGACCTGCTGGGTGACTCTCAGCCACCCTTCCCACATCTGCTCTCGGAAAATTGTGCCTATCAGAAAACGAAATTCTCTTGCTTATTTTTTCTGTGCAAAAATGAATGTGATAGATACACTTTGATTAGAAACTCCAAATCGTAGGTTTAAAAACTCCAGCCTCTGAAAAAGAAAATCCAGTGACTAACAAATCAAGTCTATCCTCCCTCAAAGTTGCTGCTCCCGGGCCAGCCTTCTTTCAGTCAGGCACATCCACCCTCTTTCCGTCACTGACTTGCGAACACTTGGAGGTCACTTTCTATTTCTCCCCCTCCAGCTTCCCCCATCAGTCACGCCATGGCCAATATGTATAGATTCTGCCTTTCCTATGCCTGTCCCCACCCTCCACTCTCTCTCTAAGTGTGCCTGCCACCAACTGGGCTCTGGCCCACCCGATAAATTACTCTTGCCTTGCTCAGATGAGTAAAAATAACATCCTGACGTTCTCATTGCCAACCCAACCCTACACCCCTGCCCATTTTCCTGAAACGTGTCTTAAATCAGGTCATTCTCCCAACAAAAACATGTTTAAGGGAAGGCCGTTTCTTAACCAACCCCACATCCTCAGATTTCCATCTCTCCATTTTTGCCTTGTATTTTACTATTTCAACCACAGGTGCGTTTTTGCTAGCCTTTTAGTGAATTCTTTGCGCAGGCCCACCTCTACCCTTTTGCTAATGCTGCTGCTGCTTTTTACCCGGGGCGACCTGGTTTGAATCCTGGTTCCATTATTTACTAGCTTCATGCCCCTGCTTTCTCATTAATAACGTGGGATCATAATAGCACCTACCTTACAGAGTTCTCTGACAGTTACAGAAGGAAATACGCACAGAGCCCCAGCATACAACATACGGCAGGTACTTAGCCGATGTTGCTGACCACTGATGGTATCGCTTTCAAATCCATCTCTTGAGTAAAGCCTTTTACGTTGCCCAACTCAAGGCCATTTCTTCCTCTTTATGTTCTTCTCTGAATAGCTTGCGACATACAATGTCCTACCTTAGAATAGTGTGTGCACTCTTTCGGCCTGTCCTGTCCTATAAACTGATTAAACTTGAGTAAACTTGATTCATCATTGTATACTCTAAGGACTTTATACGGCACTGGTGCACCAAAAGGACTTAATACGTACTGGCTAAGTCAAAATAAATTGATTTAACTATTTTAACAGATGTATTCCACACATTGAGGGGGAAAAGTAGCACCTAAAGGTAAGTAAACAAATGGCCAGCTTGATCACGTGGGTGGCCTCTGGTGAAAGACACTGATCCGTGTCATCCGCCAGCATGACTTGCCCTGGTAACATCCCTTCTTCCCTCTTCTCCATCGCAGGTCTGCTTAGTGGCCTATCTTGGCTTGTTTATGCTTTGTGTCTCATATCAAGTGGACGAGCGGACATGTATCCAGTTTTCTATGAAAGTAAGTTATGATTTTCCTTTCCCTTGTATATCACATAGAAAAAATCCAAGTGTAAAAGACAGGAAAGCCTTTTTAAGGGGCTTGCGTATCTGATCAGTCTAGAAATTGTATTTGTAGGCAGGCTAAAAAATGTTTAAGAGGGCATCCGTCCAAACCCCAAAGGTAATGCTGATTTTTTTTGAAGTCTTAATTTCCATGAACTTGGTTGGCATGGAGGACATGAAGTCTGCCCTTCAATGTCCTTAAAAGGAATATTGAAAATTCATCAGTTCAACAAAACACTTGGCCGGGGGAGAAGGTGTCTCTTTTAGCACCCACTTCCATATCTTGGGGGTTATTGGGAATATTTTAATAATGAAGCAGTCTAAGTGTATTTCCTCTTGTAGGTGGGATCACTGAGACAGAAAAAGTACATTGGGTGCATCCAAAAGATCCGTGCCAAGAATCTCAGGGCAAAGCGGGGACTGGAATATGCAGGGTTTGGCAAGTGCCTGTGTGTCTTTCATCTGCGTGTATTTTTTTCTCTGTTAGGGACAGTGCATTTGGTTGGAGCCAATTCAAGTACACAGTATATTCACTGCACAATAGAATCTACCCCAAAGGGAAAGACAGACACACCCTTTCAGAGTTTAAGGACATAAAAAACTGAACTTAGCAATCAGAGCTAGGAAAAATCAAATTTCTGCATTTGCTCTCAGCTACTGAAACAGAATATAAAAAGCTTTCTGTGTTTTGGGGAGGGGGATCCACATCGTTTACTTTTCTTCTACAAGAAAATATATAAAAACTAGATATTCTTTTGTTTACTACAAGAAAGCACAGAGCATAAGAGTAAGTTAATGCTATTTTTTTGGAAACTACTAAGATGAAAAAAAGATGCGTTGGAATTTCTAGCATAATCGAAGCTCTTGACATTAAAAAAGCAAAGTGCTGATATTTTTAAAATCATGCTGCAAACAGGAATTTGGGGAATTTGAACATTTACATTTTCTTAAAAAAGCAGGTCACACAAAATAGATGATGTGATCCTATAGAAAAAAAAATGTGTGTGGAAAAGTCGTCTATGAATGGTGGGATTCTACCTACATTTTGTAGTTTTTCTCTAACTTTGAAATGTTTGTTCTCCAGTAGTTATACATAACTAATTAAAAATTGTTAGAGGCTATTTTTTTTTTCAGTTATTGGTCAGGGCGAGGTTTGAACCAGCCATCTCTGGTATATGGGGCCGCGTCCTACTCCTCGAGCCCCAGGCGCGGTGGGATAGATGCTATTTTTAAAAACTGATACAGTAAGAATTTTGGTGGATATGCCTACATTGAGAATTTTACTTTTTTTCCTGAGGACTTTCCTTAACAGAAGGTCAGGTAGGGTAGACATTAGTTGGTGTTTACTTTTTTTGTAAAGGTCTGATTCAACAGCAAGGCTTGGTGATTAGGGAAAAAAAAAGCCATAAAGCCTAGTGAGAAATGGCTTGTTAAATTATAGGAACTTCATTCAATAGGTGAAAAACAACCTAAAACTAGGTTTTCATCCATTTATGTCAAACGCCCTCCTTCCCTGTGCTCCCCACCCCATGATGATCCCCAAAAGCAGCAGAGGCAAAAGCGTCAGTTTCAGAGAGGCCCCCAAAGCCACCTCCAAATCGGTACCTTTAAAATAAGGAGCAAGAGAAAGAAAGAAAGAAGAAAGGAAAAAACGCAAAAACAAGCCCCTGCCAATGTCAGCCAGGCTGAGAATTCCCCGCCAGGAAGATCTCATTAGCTGCCTCTTTTTCCCCACCTGTGACAGACATTGACAAATACTGAGGCTCTTTTCTCGTCTCCTGAACGTGACCTTTGGTGACGCTTGCTGCCAGCTCTCTAAGGTCGCGCTCTGCATTATCACCGGGTTGAAAGTGGGCTTAAAGCCATGTCCAGGTTTTCCAGGGACACCCCAGGGTCCTGCTGACCTCCCTCATGCTTCTCACGCCTTGGGGGGCGGGGGGAGTGAGGGGGACATGAAATGCACCGTCACAGGGGTTTCTCATCCCGAGAGCTGCGTTTCACTGCCCCGTCTTGGCACCTTTCCTAAGCTTTTTGGGGAGGATTTATTTCCTCCTGTTGAATGACCAGATAGCCGGGCAAGCAGGCAGGCCTTGATGACAGTCTCGTTGTGATCTGCACAGACAATAGCCACGGGCTCTTCTCTTTTCCTCCCAAGCTGGAACAGTCCTCTCTGGCGGCTGCCTCTTGGCAGGTCCCCAAGGCCACCACGCGCTCCTTCTTTCTCCATCCCCGCCCCCCTGGGGGGTGGGGATGACTGGGCCGCGGTCGCACCTCCCGCCCTTCCTCGTGGCCCAGCTTTCTCGGCGCTCACCTGGAGGCTCCGAAACGTGTCGGGGTCATGTGCTTGCGGGAACTTTCCGGGCACACTCCCTCCCGCCCACATCCAGGAGGCCCCTGGGCGGCCCCGGCGAGCCTCCCCCACGGGCGGCGAGCTGCACAGGGCCCTCACCATCCAGGCCACCGGGGAAGGTAATTAAATCGAAGCAGAACCACCCTCCTCCCGAAGCCACCGAACGTGAAAGCTGCAGCCGGGTACCAATTAGAGGCAGCGAGCGCGGGCGGGGACGCGCCGGGCGCTGCGGTTACATAAGCGCCCGGGGCCCGCGCCCCCGCCCGCGGCGCAGCGCCAGACTGATGGGCTGGCACCCGCGAGACAGATGCCTCCTGCGCCCCGCGTTTATCAGGATAGATTCGCTCGGATTCCCAAGGTCATCGTAAACACTTTCACAGCTAGTTTATTCGTGCTGTGTAGGTAAAGCGAGCCACTTGATTTTAAATTACAGATTCCAACCCAGAAGCTTGTTGCTGTCAGATGGGTTAAAAGCCATACAGGAAAAATGCTACAGCGCCGCGGATGTAGCCCACGGGCTTTGGGGGAGCCAATATATATTTGTCCTAAAATGGATAGGAAGCTTGATTCTGCACCCCCACCCCCTTCCTTGGCCTGACGTTTTCTCCGAATGGCAGAAGCCCAGTCACTGTGTGTGAGGTGCGCTGGTGTAAATGTCCCCCGCCTCCTTGCATTCAGGGAAGCTCGGGGCACGGTTTTTCTTTGTGCTCTTGCTGACTTAGAGCATATTTAAACGGCTCAATTAAAACGGAGCAAGCACTGTGTTTGTGTAAATGTTTACATCCTTCCTACAAACCAAGCATGCACTGTTACTTCCACACGACAGAAAATAAGGCAAAGCCAGTTGTGAGTTGATTATTCCTGAGTCCTGAGACCTGGCAGCTCTTCCCATCTCTACTAATTTATTTATGTATTTATTTCCCGAATGCTTAAATAGTGCTGTTACTGTACCAGACACTGTTCTAAGCTGTCTACAGACATACAGTCTTTGGGTCCTTATCATGATCCTATGAAATAGGTGCTATCATCATCATCCTGCCAAGTTTACAGATAAAGAAATATAGACCCACAAGGATTGATTAATTTAAAGGACCGCAGCTAGTGAGGACAGAACCCAGATTCCAACCCAGGCAATCTGGCTCCTTGGTTTATGCTCTTAATCATCACCCAGTACTGCTGTGCGCTTGTTAAACAGCCTTGGGGAAATCTTTTATCTCTGAGCCAAAAAGTCATCTTTTAAAAATAGACAAAATTCCCGTTTTCCGGCAAATGTATTTTTGTGGCTATCATGAGAAGATAAAATATTTTGTAACTATTTGGATTACTTGCAGATTGAGAATGAGGGATTATTGTCATTGCTTTGAGATACTGCCCCAGTGAATGTTACAGAAATCTGCTAAGGATGTGTGTGTGTTGGAATTACGGGGGTTACGACAAGACCCCACACCCTGCCCCACCCCATCCACTGATAGCAATAAAACATGTAGAGAAAACTCCAATTTGGAGCCATTCTATTAAGCAACGACTGCCAGGTAGGAAATGATCTTTTTAACTTGGGCCCTTCCCTGCTAGCTAGAAGACATACCAATGTTCCCAGAGCAAATAATCCCCAGTTCTCTACTGGCTGCTCTGGAAATGCAGATACAAGGGGCATTGCCTGTGGCTCAAAGGAGTAGGGCGCCAGCCCCATATGCCAGAGGTAGTGGGTTCAAACCCAGCCCCGGCCAAAAACTGCAAAAAATAAAAATAAAAAATAAAAAAAATAACAAGAGGCATATACGCACAGCCAGCACCATTTCACTTGGCTCTTGGCACCAAGAATTTGAAGTCAATCATCAAGCCTGAATATCTCAGAGCAACCCAGAATAGTTCCTATATTTTGCCCTACTAGCCCCACAAAATAAGACCATATTTTTTAACCTAAGCACTCCAATTTTTGCATAGAGTCAGTGAAAATGTTGGGGACAGGATGCAGGCAGTACTCTATGACAAATTAAATATTTCCTTTTAGCATTTATATTGGTGCTCCATTGTATTTATCTGGTTCCCTTCCTCCAAGGAACACTAAATTTGGTGAGTATACCTCTTGTTATGTTCCTGAGATTAGGACATGTCTCTATAAACTGTTCCACAGATGGAGATATTTGGGTTATATCTGACAACTCTTCAAATGACTTGAAAATGAAAAACTGTGTGTGTGTGTTTAAGATATCTTCGGTGAGAAGATCTAAAGAATCCATGCACTCTTTGGTTAAGACAATGGTTCTCAAACTTCCTAATGCCACGGCCCTTAATACAGTTCCTGTGGGTTGTGACCCACAGGTGGAGAACCGCTGGATTAAGACATAGTAAGGTGTATTAAGACAAAAATTCCTTTCCCCAGTTCCACTCTCTTCCAGTGACTTCGGATATATGGTCAAGCATTGTGTGACCTCTGATAGATTCCCTTCCAGACAAAGCAGATATATGCTTAGGGCAGCAGTAGTCAGTATACCACAGACGTGCACACACGTGCCCCATTCAAGAAAGAGAAAATATAAAATTGTAAGTTCAGTGTTCCGTATCTAAGATTTGAAATATTTGACACTGTCATTGTGTGGAAAATCACTCACTGGGAGGACTTTTGTACACCTATTTTGTAGTTTCACGTGTTTTTATTTTGAATTATAAATAATTATAATTAATTATATTTATATTATGGTATATACTAATATTAATATAATTAACTATATAATAATTATTACTATTAGAAGTGAGAGAAGAACATCAGATTTTTTCAAGCCACTTTAATCTGAGCCTAGAAATGACTAGAATCCTTCTTTGGGACATTCTGATTCACCAGAATTGTAAAGAACAACTTTTGACTGTGGTAACACAGATCTTGCCCTGAGAGCTATGTACACTAGTTCCCAAAGCTGGAGACTCTGATCCTTACCCAGAACCCCTGCAAGTAGATCATTCAGAGAAATGTTTCCAATAGGTATCCATCACAAAACATGGCTTGTGCTGTAAAACATATTTTACTGTGACCCTGTCAATGAATAATCATAATTTTTGATCAAAATAGTTCAGATGTCAGAGATTCCACAGTCTTCAGCAGCAGAGCGAAAACTTTCATCAGACTTTTCCAGTCCCGAGGCTAACACGGAGGCCAACAGTATTCAAAACTTTGGTGGCCAACGTACCGTTTAGAGCTTATTTTCACACTCAGGAACTGTGTAGTTATAGCTGGTTTGGGGATAAGTTTCACAGGTGATGAAGCTGGCATCATGCCTCTTGCCTTCTGGAGTCATAATTTTTTTTCTCAGCCACCTCTTGGTGGGGACTCTGGCATTCACTCACGGATACAGTTAGGGAAACATTATATTGAAGATAGCTTTATTACTATTATTATTAACCTGCCTTGTAAGTTTACCAATGTTTGTTAATTTTGGCCAATACAATGTTTACATTACAGAAATCCATTCTTGACGTCCTAATCTTGTCTTAATCTTAATATCAGCAGTTCTTGAGGTCACAATCAACACAGTGTGTCATCTGAGCATAGCTAGCTTGCTTGGGATTACTGTATCTAGACATAAACATCCCACGATCAGACGAATACAGTTGTCACAATTGATGAAAAGGGCTCAACACCTGGATGGGAAATGAAGATGGGAGCAGGGTTTAAGAATTGCTCACTGGTAAATAAATAGGGACCCATCTCCACATGTCTGGGGAGAGACAGCCCCTCTATCCGGGAATTTCTGGGAGGGAAGACAAATAACAGTTTTGATTAATTAGCGTTGCAAATAGTCATCCAGTGTTCTTTGTAACCAGAAAGGTTTTCTTGTGCTTTCTTGCAGCTGCTGTACTTCCTGCTGAGTGCCCTCGGCCTGATGGTCTGCGTGCTGGCTGTGGCCTTTGCTGCCCACCACTATGTGCAGCTCACACAGTTTACCTGTGAGACCACACTTGACTCCTGCCAGTGCAAACTGGCCTCTTCCTCAGAGCCACTCAGCAGGACCTTTGTGTACCAGGATGTGCCTGACTGTTCCAGCATCACTGGCACTTTCAAACTCTTCTTACTCATCCAGATGATTCTGAACTTGCTCTGTGGCCTCGTGTGCTTGTTGGCCTGCTTTGTGATGTGGAAACATAGGTACCAGGTCTTTTATGTGGGTGTCAGGATGTGCTCCCTAACAACTTCCGAAAGCCAGCAGCAAAAGGTCTAAAAACATTCTTGCTCCGAGTGGGGAGAGAAAACAGCACCCTCACTAGCCGAGGTTAAAAAAAAAAAAAAATTTTTTTTTAAAGAAAGGAATAAAAGCCTTTTGACAATACATAATATTCATTGTTCAAAATGAATATTTTTATATTTTTCAAGAAATAAAAGAGCATTTTCTTAGGTTTCTATTGTATTTTTAAACCAACACTCTTAGGGAGAAAACAAGACCCAAATTGGTTTGGGGATGTTAAAAGTTAAAAAAAGAACACTGAACAGGGAAAAATGGCGTAGATCTGTCTTTACTGTCTGGAGTGCACTCCTATTACTCATTTTATCCATTACTTACATAATCTTCTTTCCTATTAGTGCGCTTGGCTGATGGGAATTGTGAATTTCAGGCCCACTTGCTAAATTCTGCGGTGTCCACTTCTGATCCCACCTCCCGCCATTACCTCACTGCGTCTTGAAGAAAGGCAGGTGGTGGGGGAAGAGCTGTCTGTCCAGGTGGAAGCTCCTTGTTTTCCCTCTCAGAAATGTCTTCAAGGCATGAACTAGCTTAAAGGAGCAGAGCAGAAAAGGATGGAGCTGTGCAAAAGACAAGTAATTATAAACACCTGGTTGGGGGGGGTTACCCTCTCTGCTGCAGCTCCCTTAGTTTGGCTGTGTGAATAGACAACTTGCTAAATGCTTTGCAGAACTGTTCTCAATATCTGAAAGAGGGTAGTAGTTGTATTCTTAATGATGTAGAAGGTTTAAAAATAATTACATTATGCTTCTATTCTATCGTCTAAAACAAATCATTAAAACTAATTTCTAGCTAATTGTTAATTATAATTATGCTCAGAAGTCTATTTAACGAGCTCTGACTATACTTCTGCGGCACTGTCGGTGTTAAGAGAAATTACTCTCACAAGAGAAGAGGCCTAAAGATGTTTTTTCTTCTGAAAGCCAAGCGCCACAAGGAAAAAAAAATTATTAATAGCTTAGGTGAAAAATAAAACAAGAGCATGGGTAATAGGAAATGTTGGTACCAAGAGCACATTTGTGATAGGCTGAAAAGGACTCCTCTTGGCAACCAAGGGTGCTGGAGGCAGATTGGGTAATGCTGATGTGTTCCATTCACGAAACTGTATCGTTATTTTTAATAATCCCATTACTTGCATGCTCCCTCAACCTGTGCGTAATGGTTTGATGATCTTGTTTGTGCAGTATGTTCATTGACTTGGGGTGTATTTTGTTTGGTTTTGTTGTTAAATGATTGTAACTTAAAGCACAAGTACCCCATGGTGGGAAACTTCTCTCTGTTAACTGTTACATTCTGAGCTATATGAGCGTATTCAGGAAGGAGCTGAAAATAGAAATACGTGCAGCATAAATGTTATCAAGGGCTTTCTCTATTAGCAGGCTGTCTGTGGAAGGCGCAAATTTGAGATAACAATTGAGCTCAGTTTGCCTCTCTACATTGCCCACTGATATACCTCACTAATCATGAAATTTTAGCCTAAAAGAAAAACATTTTCTTGTTTGCCTTAGAAGAAAGATGAATAATTCCATTGACCGCAGTAATGGTGTCAGTTTCCGCACAATATAAATATCCAAGTAAAAAAGGAAAAGATTAAGTCAGTAATCTGGAGGACTGTAAATACCTTTTATGTCCTCCAGATCAAACACCTGATTAACAGATGTTAAAACCTTTTTATGTTTTTGGCCTGCTTTAAAAATGGCCTTCCTACGCATTAGCTCAGGTCAAGAAGGCACGTTGGAGAGCTTAGTGGACACATCTCTGGAGCAGAAAAATTCTGTCGACAGAATACCCGGCATCCTGATGAGGACCCGAAAAATAGTGTGTGCCCAGTAAAACGATACACCAATAACTGAATCCGTGTGATTTTTGATAGGGTTTCCTACATAAAGAAGAAAATGACCAAGAATCTGGAATTTGTAGGCTGTATGTAAAAGAATAAGAGTGTAGTGCTGCTAACACTAGTTACCACGAATCAGGCGCCACTGAAAGCGCATCCTATTTAACAACTTTTTATAGCCACCGCAATGGGTTTTTATATTAAACAATTAAGATTATCCACATCATGAAGGTGCTCTATGCTTTTCAAGCGATTCACGGGGTATTTCGAATGATAGACTAGTTTATGTGCTTCCTTTTTTAAAATAATGGCAACCCATAAGAGCTGACATGGTAATAAGCTTTATAACAGTCAGGGCATAGATGGATGGGGCATATGTGGGGATTTTACTATTATACGATCAAATCATTCTTAAATCCCCGAAGAGAGAAAAAAGTCATAAGTGGATGGAAGGAACAAAACAAAAAAGACAGAAAGAAAAAAGATTCCTTTGCTGTGAGCTCACTGTATATCGATATGTGTAAGAATTGTGTTTTATGAATAACAGCTTTGGGCTGGATTTGAAGTATTTTGATGTTGTGTTTTGCAAATATTGAAGTTACAATAAAGGCAACAGAAAAGGAACAGATACACAGCTTTACACTTAGCAAAATGTTACATTTGAAATCTGACAGGGAGCCAAGATGGTGACTGTCTCTTCTAAACCATAAAACAGTAAGATTTGCGCAATCTCCTCCTCCTCTTCCACCTCCTTCAGGAGAATTAAATGAATCAAGACTTTGGAAAGAGGGGGAACAGCCGGGTCTTGGCAGTACTTGAAATAGGAGGAATACAGCAGCCTGAATGTACAGACTTTGTAAGCAAGCCCACTCGATCGGTCTATGCCTTCACGTGACCACCATCTGTGCCTCCCTCGCGCCATCCAAATTCGTGTAGGCTGCTCCTTGGAGCCATGCCTAAAAATATAGCTACACCAGAGCCCTAGAAACTGTAGTCAAGTAACAGGCCTAACTTTTTTTCCTCTTTGGCTTAAAAGTGTATATGATCTCTTCTCTGGGGTTTCCAGCTGCATACATCAGCGATTGTTCGGACGGTGAGAACCCATTGTATATGTATTTTTCTATTCCTGTCCAGGGCATCAGAATCTTTTAATATTCTTGTACTTCCCTTGTGGTGTGCAGTATATCTGGAATATGTTTATGAAATTTTACTGAAGGGCGGGATAAAGGACAGTAGTGGGGTGGTTATTTAAAGATAATCAGAAATAAACTTAAAAGCTGCCCTGCAAAACCAATCACTTCTTATCAGGAAGCACACCTTTATCCAGTATTTTCTAGTGATTGTCTCTGAACTGTTGCTGTGTGGCCATAAATTTCTGTAAATCGTGTTGGCTGTCAGGCCAACTCAAAGAGCCATACTCAAAGAGCTCTATCAGGCTTTATGTTGTACATTCAGCATAGCGTTAAAAAGAACTAATGGCCAAATATGTTGACTCACAGTGGAAACATTCGTTTGGATGAAGAATTCGTGGTTAGCCTTTGAAATGAATACCTTGATCCGTTTCTTTTGATTTCCCAGTACTTTATTATCTCAAATGGTTATTATCCCCTTCAAAAATACTAGTCTGTAGTTTGGTGTTGTGGTTTCATTCTTCAGGCATTAATCAAACAGCAAATGGAAAATGAAGCGACTCTACGTGTTCGAGGTGGTTGTTTTTAAAGGGGTTGTGAATAATGCAGATTTCTTTATTAATAAACTTTTCATAATCCTAGAAAACACTGTGTCTGCATGTGCATTAAAATGAGTGTACATTACCCATGAATTGGTACCCATAAAATCTCTCCGGTTAGTGTTTATTTCAAAAACATGCTTTTGGAAGAGGCAAAAACTGACATTCATTTGGAATCCTTTGTTCCAGGGACTGTGTCTGTTTTGGTACTCTGCATCCCTGGTAGAAGTCAAGGTTGCAATTGTTCCCAAAGCTAAAATTGGAAACAAATCTTGTGAAAGGCACCCAAAATGCTGATTCTCAATTTTATATCTAGTGATGTCAAAGTGATCAGATGCATAGTGAGTGCCACATGTGCAGTCACAGTCTCTACTTCATTATAAAGAAAAACTGACAGCCTTTTCCATTTCCTTTCTGAACCCAAGAACCTCCTCTTACCAACTCTAGGGCAATTTAAATAGTTGATTATATTGAAAAAACATGCAGTGGTTCTTTTTCTTTTATGAAGTTAGACAATCTTGTAGAATGCAGAAAGAAAGGGATTAACAATTTAGGACGCAAACTCTGAGCTGGGTCTCCTATCCTTAATGGGAAGGCTGTAGGTCCTAGAGTTGGAAATCTGGCTGACACTTACTGCCTCTGTAACTTTGTAAAGCCATTCAGTCCCCTCCTATGCAAAGCTGAGAAAAATATAACTGCCTCCTAGCATGATAGAGAAGGTTAAATGAAATAGCACTTAGAGTGCCTGGCTCATCAAGGGTGCTAACGCGCATTTGGGTTCCCCTTCCATAGCCAGGTTGTATGTAGCTTCTGCTCCATGCACGCTCCCGTCCCTCATCAAACTGGGAAGGAGTCCTGCTTTGCTGTTCCCTTCTGTGACTCTCTATTCTGAAACATTTTGCTTTTAAAATAAGACAGCATCGACATTTACTGATAAACATAGATGTATTTGCTGGTTGGATTCCTGTGTATTGGTTTACACAGCTGGGTGTCTCTTCTCTTGACTGTGCCCATCTTCTCTCGGGTCTTGTCCCAGGCAGAAGTAAAACTTGAGCCATTTCTCCTGTTTTTCGGGTAACTTGTAACTTAAGGTTATAGAAGCATGTTTAAGCTCGACTTTTCAAAACAAATCTTCATTGAATTTGTGTACATTATCAGTCCACTGTGTTTAGGTTATAATGAACAGTCCCTTATTTACTTAAAAGTGAATCCCATTAGGCACTTTTGGAATGCTTGACTCTGTAGGTCACGGATTCTCATTCAGGAATTACAAAAGCTTGACTTTTGAGGGGAGTCAGAAAATGGCATGTGAAGCTTCATTCTCCAAGCTGGATATGAAAACATTAACATGAATCTTTATTTTCAAGGAAATTTAGCTGTCAAAGTTATACAGCCAGTAATCTGTATTTTCCCTTGATAGAGCTTATCTTAGCAGGTCATGATAAATGATTATTTAAATCTTTTGTAAGTTAGTCTTTATAAAGTATAG